ATGAGAATTAAGAAAAACGATGAACTTAAAATTAAAAGTATGAATGAACGAGTGTTATCACAATTTTCTGGTTGAAGAAAAAACACTTCATTGCTTATGATGGCATGTTTAAATGGAGCCAAAGTATGGGCTACCAAAGTAAAAATCTATATAGTTAAGATGTAACATGTTACCCTATGAAAAAAGCAATTTTATTGAAGGTCAATTTAAAAGGCAGCATCCAAAACAAAGGTATTTGTCTTTGCCAAATTGGATAATCCAGATATTGTAGAATATACTATTGAGTCGCTAGTATGGTATGGGATTCGAAAGGGAGGAAACTGGAATCCATGTTAACCGTTACTGGAAAATGTATAAAGAGCCGCTGAAGAATAGCCACATTACGGATTATATTATCTTGCTCTGTATCGAAAGAATTATGTATGGTACAGAACAAAGTATCCAAGTGTGTGGTACCCTTTCGTTTTGGTGAAAAAAAAAACAAGGAAACACACAGTATATACTACTGGAAATATAGAATAGTTTGTTAAGACAACAAATCACACAACTACTGCATTAACAGAGCTGTTATGATAGGGAGAGTTAAGGTTTTTAAAACAAGAGTACATGAAGGGACATAGAACACTAACGAAAAGAACTGCAAGAAAGGACATTCATTATTTTAGAGCATAACTTAGTACATAATGTGCTGACATAGTGAAAATAAGGATAAGAGGAAGTCTGATTAAGCACATGCTTCGATTTCTTAGTTGAAAAGAAGCGAGAGAATGATACCAGTGCAAATGAAAAACCCAATCCAAGAAAAAGCAATACAATGCCGGTACAATCTCTCTCTCCGCAAACTTAAGAACTTCAATTTTGAGCTTCTTATTCTCTTCCACAGTACTGTTGCAGGCATCGACTGAGGCTTGATCAGAGGACAGGGTGTTGTTTTGCTGGAGTAGCATCAGAAAGCACGTTTTTATCAGCTCTATCCATCTCAAATTGATGTAGTTGTTTATTCTCTTTTGGCTGGTAGGTTCGAACCCAGTCTCAAACAAGCACTCTGGCAAGCCGAACTCTTCCATACTATACATGTAAAGGCTAGACGTTAACAACATCAGTGTAATGGAACCAATATATAAACAAGTTTAGGCACAAACAAATGGTGAAAATGGTACAAAAGAAACATAATTATAACTATTCAGGTTACCTAACCTACTTCGGTGGACACTATAGTAGCAGATAAGAAATATGTTTCTTTTATATGATGGCACTAAACATGTATGACTACACTATAAACATATAGAGCCAGCACTTTTCCTCTTACACCGCTGGTGTAGAACAACATCAGTCTATACTATATATGTTCACCAATATAGTATAGTCATGTATCCGATCAACATTAATTCAGACAACCACTATATAAGAAAAGCAACAACATATTCAAGTTAACAACCTACTTGACTTGCCAGTTTAGAAGACGAAACAATGAAAGTAAATATTTCACATTTACATGTGGTTACCACCCATGAATTTCTATACTATAAGCATGGTAGTAAGTATAAATATCCTTGTAGAAGATTTTATACTATAATCACAAATCTATAGTCTACTCAATTTCCTCATCACACAATTAATCTCACAGACACGAATCACCAAACTGGGTTCTTTAAAGCGATGCCTACAACAGCGAAGTGACATGCATCTACTATCTGACTTTATCAAAAATAAGATTCAAACCTTTTTTTCCCATACCTTCTCTCTGCAGTCTTGAACCCGTTTCCCTAGATCTGCACACAAATAAACCGACTTTCTGATATGAGGGTCTATATAAAGAATGATAGAGCTACTATTCTATACTTTATTACCTATTAGTATAGTTATTTACATATGCTTACACTATAACAAAACACCATGTATGCATTGCATTAGCAATAACATGTATAATATACTACACATGTAGCCCATATAGTATACATAGTTCACACCAAGCAAACTTAACACACATATCATATGCGGTGTAACCCGCCATAGCATTAAATAGATTTAAACAACAAACTTCTACTATACTATTAACATTTCCCAAATAGAATAGACAGTGACTTCATATTGTGGGAACCGAAATTCACCTACTGTCAATAAATCGTAAATAAGGAAACTTCAGGTAAACCCTAAGTTTCCAGAGGAACCGGCTATCTGCAGAACCGCACAACGAGAATTAAGAAAAACGATGAACTTAAAATTAAAAGTATGAATGAATGAGATTGAGAGCAAGAAGGTTCTTATTCCGAATCTGCGTAAGAACTGTTACAACGAGAGTAGCCTTAACTCTTGAAGTCTAAGAATGAAAACCCTAGTTGAGACGCAGCTCGCTAACAAAAAACGGAAATATTCCTAAATGCTAATTTTGGTGGTGAGAGCTCTGAAAATCGTGTCCCTGCTTCCGCCCTATGCCTCTTGTTTTTATACTCCCTCCTAGGCGGTTTTAGTCTTTCCATTTCGCCCGAATTCGAGTTTATCGGGAATCTTCCATTTTTCTTGATCCTTCCTTTTCTCTCGCGGAAATCTTCTATTTATCTTCAAACTTTCCATTTATCTTCAAACTTGACTTTTATCTTCCTTCTGCGAGTAAACCATCAAAACGTTATCGTATCTTCGGGTTAGATTTCGTTAAGATCGCGAGATGGGCTTTTATCGCGTTTTAGGACCTTTCGGACCGTTTTACGATAAATCCGTTTTACGACTTTATACGAGATCGTTTCCTGATCCGATGTTTTTTTAGTAAATTTCCGAGTTAATCGTAAAGTTTAGCTACTTTCGTTTTCCGGTTAATCATCGCCGTTTTTTACGATTTTCTCGACGTTTTTATTAAAAACGCGTTTTTTATGATTTTAACGAAAAATCTCGAATAATTCGTATAGTTTAGGCAATGTTCAGTGTTTCGTTTAACCGTTTCCGTTTTATACGATTTCCTTTAGTTCTTTCAAAGTTTTACGGTTTTTATCGTAAAACTCGAAGGATAGGTCGGATCGAGACGAAACGGGAGACATTTCGACCGTTGTTCAGAACACGACCGTGTCGAAAGACGTAAGCATTGAATTGGGGATGCGGGAGATCGAGACTCGGGATGGCCGATTCGACGTACAGCAAACCGAGCCAGACCGGTCTGGCTCGCTTGCCGGTGAACTGTCCGGGAAGCTTCTAGTTCGCCCAACGGCGAACTAGCCGGGACGAGGCTAGTTCGCGTTTTACAGCGGTTTTGGGTTTTTCGCGGTTTTGTAAAACGGTTCTTCGAGTTTTATAAAACGATTCTTCGAGTTTTTATAAAACGATTCTCGAGTATTATAAAACGATTCTCGAGTTTTATAAAACGATTCTTCGAGCTTTATATAATGATTCTCGAGTTTTATAAAACGATTCTCGAGTTTTATAAAATGATTCTCGAGTTTTATAAAACGATTCTCGAGTTTTATAAAACGACTCTTCGAGTTTTATAAAACGATTCTCGAGTTTTATAAAACGATTCTTCGAGTTTTATAAAACGATTCTCGAGTTTTATAAAACGGTTCTTTGAGTTTTATAAAACGATTTCTTTTATATTTCTGCGGGGAGTTTTGGCCGTTGATTCCGTCGTACCGATTTTGACCCCAGCACATATTCTTCCCTTACACTCACGAATCCTCATTCTATTTTCGTTAAAACACACAATATTAGACTCACATAGTTTCCCCATCATCCTTTACAAAAACTCCAAAGAATCTTCGGCAATGAAGTCAAATTAACATTCAGTTTTGAGAAAATTAACATTGAATCTATAAAAGAAACTTTTTCTGATTTACTCTTGACTTAACGTTGTGGTACCTTATTCTATTCAGTCGATCGGGACTTACCTTGTTTGTTTGCCAAAATTCTGAAAATCTGAAAGGTCACGGGAACCCTAACTTTGTTCCTCCATCTCCTCTTCCTAAAAATCATGTGATTCGAAGGTTAATTGTTTGTCCTAAACAAACAAAACTTCCAATCGCTTTATAATAATTGCTCTCTCTAAATCACTATGTCGCTCTTTCGAACGAAAGTATGTACTAAGATAAAATGACTTTTCGTTGCAGGATAGAGAAGATGACCCTTCACCTTTCACGCGCAGGTAAAGGTTATAATTGTCAACTTTGATTATAATATGTATTATATCGTAGTATACGTCTTCGTCTTTTTATGTGTAGTTTCTTAAAATTTTGTTCTATTATAGTTATTGTAATTTTCCCATTATTAAATCCTTTTGCCAAAAACAAAGTTAGAATTATTATCGATCGCATCAAACAAACTCAATTTTATTTAATAAATCATAACTAAATTTTATTTTGTAATTATTAAAGTATTACATAATAGCTAAATCACTTAACATGAAAAAACAAATGTAAATTATAAGTTTACGTACACAAAATATCATATCTCAAAGCTATAGTTTAATTTAACAGCATGGAATTAATTTAACCAGTTAACGATTGACTATGTCGATCATAATTTCGTACAAACAACTATTAGTTGAGGAATAATTTTGCGCGATTAATACTTGGGTATTAAAACTGCCGATTGTAAATAGTTCGGGATTAAAATGCTCATTTTCCCCTCAATTACAACTTAATTTGCAATTTATGTTTACTCATTGCAAATATAGTCACGTGATTGGGTAGTAAATACACATTACAGTTTTGTGATTTTTGGGCTGATCTTTTTTTAATTGAACTTTATACTACTACTAATTAAACAAGCAACTGAATAGTCTTTGTGTATTTAGGACAGAACAAGGACATAGGAAAGACAATCAATGTCGAAAATCAAAATCTTTGGTATAAAAGGCACTAACATCTGTCGTTTTTTTGTTAAGGAAAGAATATCACCAGCCGTATGTTTAAGGCAAGAATATCACCAAAAGCCAAAATATCTTATGTTGCTCTACTATATAAACAGCATCAGAGATTCGTTTATGAGAGACATATGAGAAAGGTGAAGAAGAAAAAATGGCTGCCAGTGATAACGATAATTCTCTTCTCAACTATGTTCCGGTCTATGTTATGCTTCCCGTAAGTCGCCATTAATCATTCAGTGGGTAAACATCATTAGTTTTGCTAATGCTTCTACATCTCAACTCTATGATTTTATTCTATGTGAATGCAATGGATGAATATAATAAGTATTAGAGTTAAATTTTCATATTAGAAGTTCGAAGGAAGCATAATATTTATATAAGTGATATGGACCAATCCACTCAAACTACACAAATAATACATAGGATATAAGCTCACCATGAATTTATCGAAAAGAAACAATAAAAATGTTATTGAAGAGTTAAAAAAGAAATGAATTTGAATGCAGTTGGGAGTGGTGAACGAGAAAAACGAACTATCGGACCCTGAAACGCTGGAAGCGCAGCTCAAGCGTCTCAAAGACGAAGCTGGGATCGACGGTGTTATGGTCGATGTTTGGTGGGGAATCATAGAGTCTGATGGCCCAAAGCAATACAACTGGACCGCTTACAAAAAGCTATTCCAGATTATCGCCGGTTTAAAACTCAAGATCCAAGCGATCATGTCATTTCACAAATGCGGTGGAAACGTGGGAGACGTCGTCACGATACCGATCCCCAAATGGGTTCGCGATGTCGGCGATAGCAATCCGGATATCTTCTACACTAACCGTAAAGGAACAAGAAACGACGAGTATCTCTCAATCGGCGTCGATAATGTTAATCTCTTCGACGGAAGAACCGCTGTTCAGGTAAGTATATCCAAGTGTTTACGTTACGGAAACGCAACTACTAGCGTTTTAATAAATACTATTTCGTGATCATCAGTTGTACAGTGATTTCATGAGTAGCTTCAAAGAAAACATGTCGGATCTTATACAATCCGGGGACATTGTTGACATCGAAGTCGGACTTGGTCCCGCCGGCGAACTTCGTTACCCTTCTTACCCACAAAGTCAAGGTTGGACATTTCCCGGCATTGGCGAATTTCAGGTTAGTTTTTAATCGTTATTTTATTACACAACACATGCTTGTTTTTTTTTAAAGATTATGCCCCTGAATAAACGGTCCGTTTTGATGGTTACTTCTAGTGCTACGACAAGTACCTGAAGAAAGATTTCAAGGAAGCTGCGGCCAAGGCAGACCATCCTGAGTGGGACTTTCCCGAAGACTCCGGTGAATACAACGATAAGCCGGAGGAAACAGGGTTTTTCAAGAAAAATGGGACTTATCTCTCGGAGGAGGCCAAGTTTTTCTTGACATGGTACTCGAACAAACTCATCTTTCATGGAGATAAGATCTTAGGAGAAGCCAACAAGATCTTCGTTGGACTTAAACTTAACATAGCTGCCAAGGTATTACGAGCTTCAAACAAACTTATTTATATATTACTCCAAGTTAACTTGCCTTGCAAGTTAGTTAGTAGTTTAATTATGAGTCTACTAAAATGAGTATGTATGTGAATGAGGTAGGTTTCGGGGATTCACTGGTTGTACAACCACCACAGCCATGCAGCGGAGCTGACTGCTGGATATTATAACCTCTCCGAGAGAGATGGTTACCGTCCCATTGCTAGGATGATCTCAAAACACTACGGCATTCTCAATTTCACTTGCCTTGAGATGAAAGATACCGACAATGCCGATGAAGCCCTAAGTGCTCCCCAAGAACTTGTCCAAGATGTAATAAATTTGTAAATCTATTCAATTTAAGTCTTCCATATATAGTTTGATTTCTTTCGGTAAATCGTTGATTTAGGTATTGAGCAAAGCATGGAAAGAAGACATAGACGTTGCGGGTGAGAACGCATTAGAGACCTATGGAGCCAAAGGTTACAACCAGATTCTTCTTAACGCCAGGCCTAACGGGGTTAACCCTAACGGTAAGCCAAAGCTGAAAATGTACGGATTTACTTACCTGAGGTTATCAGATACGCTCTTTCAAGACGACAAGTTTGAGCTGTTCAAGAAGTTTGTGAGGAAAATGCACGCTGATCAAGTAACAACACATACATAAAAGCCATATTCAAACTCAATTTCTTTTTCTTTTTTTTTAACATAATATATAAACATTTGGATTGGGAACAATATATTTAAGGATTACTGTGGAGACGCAGAGAGTTATGGACAAGAGATTGTGCCAATGGAAACACAGAATTCGCAGCTGACAGAGGAGGATATCGCTGACGCAGCTCAACAAAGCGAAGATTTCAAGTGGGACTCTGAAACTGACATGAAGGTGGATGGTTAATCCTCTCATCGTCAAACAAGTTATGGGGAAGGAAGTGATAAATAAAAGGTTTCTTACTGAATAAAGTGTGTGTTAATCTGCCTGAATAATGTTTATGGAAGTCTGGTTAAATAAATTTTGTGAAATATAAATAAATAAGCTTTTGTATGGAAGAATATCGAGAGCATCGAATTCAGAACTTTGTTACTTAAGCCACTATGCGAAACTCAATATTACATCCGTCTAAACTATGGAAGTCTTGTTAATAACTTGTTCACTACAAGAAAACAAAGCATTTACTAGGAAATTTTACTAGGAAAATTCTTCCTCGTAAAGTTACTAAGTATTTACTAGGATCTTACGAGGAAAGCAAATTTCCTCATAAGCTCCTCGAAATCTTACGAGGAAATACTTTCCTCGTAAGACCTTAGTAACTTTACGAGGAGCTTACGAGGAAAAAGTACTTTTCCTCGTAATGCCGTAGTGAACACTTTCCTCGTAAAGGCGTAGTAAAATATTACTACGAAATTAGGAGGAAATAGTTTCTTACTACGAAATTAGGAGGAAATAGATAGGAAATATCGAATTTAAATAAAACACATGTTTTGTACCTACTTTTCCTAGCAATTTCCTAGTAAATGCTCAGATTCGAAAATTTCTATAAATACCACCTTATGTGATTCAT